CTGTAAAGATCCTCTTTTTGATCAGTAGTGCCCTTTGTGGGTTTTCACTAGCTAATCTCTCTCATTTCTCTTCTCACCATCGCCTTATAGTGCCCTTTGCAGGTTTTCACTAACAATACTCTCTCATTTTCATTTTCTTTGCTCGTTATCACCCTATGGTGGCCGTGAGGGTTTTCACCAATAAGACTCTCTCATTTTATTTCTCTCATTTTATTGACTGTATCCTCCAATTCTTGAACATTCTCGTTGATTGATCGGAAGGACTTGAAAAGGATTTGGGTAAAAAAGATTTGGATTGAATTACAAATTTGGAACCTCTTAGGCGAAACCATCGCCGAACCATTGTAACACCTGCCCAGTTTCAAATTTTGGGGGAATGTAGATTTTTATTTTGGTATGACTGAATCCCAGAGAGAGGCTGCCTACGTATCCTTTCGGAATCAAGTCAAACGTAGTTTGATTCACTTTGTTTTGATTTATTTTTCTTTTTTTCATTTATTTTTCATTTTCTTTTCTCTTTTTTTTCTTCATAAAACTTCCATGATCCAAATAGGGTAATCAAAGAAAAGTAACCGGCTCAAAAGGGTTTGCAAAGGGTTGATAATGTTTGGGTAGCAAGAATGAAAGCCTTTGTCATCCCAATCAGAGAACATTAAATATGCGTAAAAGGGTCAAACATAATACCTTTTGACCGTGTCTGTATAGACAGTTGTCTTAGAGACATTTCCTTCTATATCTCCCAAATACAATGCCCCTTTTGGCAGTAATCTTGCTACAATGTATGGATCTTTCCAATATGTATAGACATTTGTCTCGGAGACATTTCCTTCGAACTTTATAGGCCGCACTTTCTTGTTGTAGGCACGGGCCATTCTTTGTTGGTATAACTGTCCGTCGCAAACTGAGGCCATACGTTTTTCATCAATCATAGTCAATTGTTCCAAACCGATTCTTAACCCAATCTTTATCCTCAATCTCCGCTTCGACAATGATCCAAAGAGAGGGAATTTCAACTTCTTCCGATTTCATTTGGATCTTGGCTTAGGCCTACTGTTCTACTTCTTTGCTTATTTTCTCACAAGCCTTATCTTCAACACATTCTGCTTCTTGATTCATTATTTCGAGGTCTGACGACGTTTTAGGATATGAGCATGAAGTCCGCAAGCATGTCATGTTATTAAAATCTGCATTAACAGAACTGAAAAGAGAATAAGAAAGGTGACAAGATTAAGAAAAGAGACATTCCTAGACAATGAAATATTAATTTCATTTATTTGATTTTTTTTTTGAATTTTAAAGATAGAAAGGTTTACATCAGAAAGTAAGACAATAAAGTAAAACATCCGGATTACACTCTGAAATAATCCGGACGCAGAAAAGATAGCAAGACTGGCTACCGAGACTCCAGTCTGATGGGGGACTTTCAGGCTTGGCGACCGTTTTTTTTCTTCTGTCTCGGTAATGGCTGCAATGGCCTTCAGTGCTAGATCAAATTCCTCATCTTCGCAGATCATTCTGACTACTGGCCCATTGGTGTGAGTAGGAAGAGAATTATTCATCATATTAGGGGCCTTTTCATCCCTAAGCACTACTGTCCTGACTTCGATAAGGTCTTCCATTGCTCTCTTAAGAGTCCAACAGTCTTCCGTATCATGTCATACTGCTCTAGAGTGGTATTCACAACTAGCATTAGTTCGGTGCGAGGGGGACTCGGGGTTTGGCCGGTTCAGGGCTATTGGCTGCGGTACACCTAGCCCGATTAGCTTTTGAAACAAACTTAAATATGATTCACAAATAGGGGTGAACTGATTTCTTCCGAGGGGCTCTCTTGGGCGAGGATTGTATTGGGGAATATTTGGTTGGGAATTATATGAAGCTTGGTAGGGACGGGCATTTCTGGGATATGGAGCTCGGTTTTGTGTATAATGCTCTAGCCGCGTGTAAGGTTGCATGTTCATCACCGCATAGGGAGGCAGTGCCATAACATAAGCATCATCTTGATAGGGATAATAGTGTTGTGGGACCGTAGGAAGCATATATGATTGGTTGAATGACCTGCGGGCTCCCCTCGAGCTCGAAGCCATCATGGCTCCCTCTTCCCTCCTTCTTCTGTGAACCATTTTTAACGTTCTATGATGTGGCCTTAAAGGCAACATGACTCAAGATTCGGCCCGTTTTAAAACCATTTTCGACCATATCCCCAATTTTGATAGCCTCGGTGAACGGATTACCCATAATGGACATCATTTTCTGAAAGTAGCCCGCCTTTTGGGCCTGTAGGAAGACCATAACCATTTCTGCTTCGTCCATTGGAGGCTTTACCCTAGCAGCTTGCTCGCGCCATTTGACGGCATATTTACGGAAACTTTCCGCTGTTTTCTTTGTCAAACTGGACACACCGTTCTATTTTTGGATTTTTCACTCTTGTTTTTTTTTTCTACTTTATTTTCTTTGTTATTTTTGTCACTCTTTTCTTTCTTTTTCTTTCTTCTCTTTTTTTTTACACTTAATTTATTTGATGTAAATGATCGAATCCGATAGGGATTGCCTACGTATCATGACGCCCCATGAATCACATCTTGCGTCGTTCGGGCAAATCGGGAATAAAGTAAAATAAACTAACTCTTTTTTTACTCATATACAAATAATCCCATAAAAGCTGCTAACAAGAAAAAATATTTCGGATTTTTTTTTTGGAATTTTATTTTTTTTGTTGTTGAAAGAAAACTTCTAAAGATAGATTTTTTTTTTTTGCTTTTTTTTTTTGGGAATCTTCGAAAGAAATACTTTTTTTTAAAAAAAGAAAGAAAATATTTTGAATTTTTATTTTTTTTAAATTTAAAAAGACAAAAAATAGTTTTTTGGATTTTGATTTTTTTTTTTGAATTTTGGGAGAAAGGCCTTTTTTTTAAAAGGAAGAAAATATTTTTGGAATTTTGGATTTGATGTCTCAAAGAAAGACTTCTAAAGAAGGAATTAAAGAAAAATATTTTTTTTGAATTTTTGAAAATTGGAGGCCGGAACCGATGAGGTTTGCCTATGTATCTCACATCCGGTGAGAATCAGACCCGCGCAGTTCGGTTAAAACCGACTATGTTCTTTTTTTTTTTTGATTTTCATAAAAATTAATCTTAAAAAATCATATGCACTAGACCACATCATTTTTTCTCTGTTCGTTCAACTGATTTATGCTAAAGTCGGTCGACATGCAAGCCTCCCAAATAATACAACAAGTAGCACATAACATAACATAATGGTCTTAACAAGGTACTTGTCCTAAAATAGAACTCGGCCCCTGTATCGAGCGCTGCTAAGTCAAATGTATATGATGCAAATAAAGCGTAGCCTATTAGGGATATTCATTGCTTGTGGCTTGTTCTTCTAAGTTTCCAAATCCTAAAGGAGAATGGTATCTAGACCTGGCTTACCCGGGCGAACAACCCGAGCCGAGGAGCGTCAAGCGTCACCAGTAGTAGAACAACACTGGCTAGATAACGGCTCTCCCGCCTAAGCATGTGTGACTAAATCCTTCACCAGAAGCTGGTAGGCTAACTGACTTTATCTCAAGACAGAAATTTTGTGATGCTGGTAGGCAAACACAACATATCTAATTATAAGAAGACTCAAAGGGGTGCGGGAGATGATACAATTTATATGTACATTTCAATAATATCAAATGAAAAAAGTGAATAATTAACACATTAGGCCCAAATAAATCACAATATATACATAAATTAATAAAGCCAAATAAAGTCAATGTACAACCTCGAATTCTTTAGAGTCCCCAGCAGAGTCGCCAGAGCTGTCACACCCCTTTTCTACCCCAAAAAGATAATGTGTGTTGATTGTGGGTTAAAGAGTTTTTCCAATTAAAGTGACAAACTTGAGTAGGGATTATTTTATTGTTCAGAGTCGCCACTTAGAATTGAATTTTTTTTGGTGTTCCAAGTCACCTTTTATTTGAATCCCTAGTCAAAGGAAGGTTTGACTCTATTATTATTGGTCTGCGAAAATAAATTTTAGGTAAGGAATTCTGTTGACCGGGGAGAAGTGTAAGGCATTCCCCGAGTCCCGTGGTTCTAGCACAGTCGCTTTATTGACTTAAAACTTGGCTTGAATTAATTTTGGACAAACTATGATTTATATGATTTTGATGTTTTACCTATCCGCTTTTAATACTTGCTTTATTAGAATTGATAAAGAATAACAAGATATCGTAACCACACTACGCAAGCGAATGCGTAGTCATGACAAGGATTATTAGCACACTATGACTTTTGGGAAAACTACTACATTTGAGAAAATTAATTAATTTTTTCAAATTTATTAAAAGTTAACTATCGCGCTACGCAAGCGAATCAACATTTTTAGCAAAGAATTAACTAAAACTAATGGTTATGGTGTGAGGTTATTGAACTAATTTATTGAATGTTAAATTTCACGCTACGCAAGTGATTCCGTGAAGTTAAAAATATGCCTAGTATTTGCCTAGCGTTTAAATTAATTTATTTGTTAAAACTATTTATTTAATAAAGAAACCTAGTATTTAAAAGACCGAGTCAAAACTTGTTTACTACTTTAAACTTGACAAATTCAAATTTTTTCAGTAGCCTTGATGTTAAAAAAATGTCTAGCAAATTTAAACCAAAGATGATAATGGCCTAAAATATTCTTAAAATTAATGTAAACCCTACTAAGACATGTAGCTAAAAATAATGCATTAATGAGCATGGACTTCTAGACATATAACTGAGAAACAAACATATGCATCAAGCTCAACCAAACAGAAGTTCAAACTAGCAATAACACATTTAAGAAATTCTTTCACTGGTTCTCTCCTCTCTCCCGCACACTCATCACATACTATTCCCCAACTTCATTTTAACTTAACCAAGAAAAGAAGTATTACTATCAATTATTTTTAGCACTAAGAGAAAAATTAAAATAACAAAATCACAAATACATAAAACCAAGGCAAAAGGAAACTAAACTCTACATAATAATTTTAAAAGATGTTTCTTTTCCTTAACTAGATACACTTAACATAATGTTATTTGAGCTACACATGTAAAGAAAAATGAAAGATCAACCAAATATTACGTACATGCTGAAATATGACTATATGAATAACATGCTAAACATTCATTTATTCCAGTAAAGCACATCAAGCGTACCCATAGAGCTGAAAAAGAGCCATATCCTCATCCATTGAATATAAAAATCTGCATTGCAAAATTTAAGAAAATACCTGGATTGCAGAAAATAAATACAGCAGTGAAGAAATAGAGCTCAGCAGAAAAACAAATAGCAGCAAACACAAGCAGAAAACAACAACAGTTTCGTTTTTAAACAACCCGAAAACCTTAGAAGAAACCAAAACCAACTCTAAAGAAGACTTATACTTTTCTAAAAGTTTGCACTCTAAAATTTACTCACAAAGCACACCATTTCAGCTTACTAAAGGGTGCTTTAGTTGCTGATTTTTTACTCTCCAAGTTTTATTTTTAGGGTGTAAAGACTGCTGAACAAATGTGTGATCCCCGTCTCAAGTGAGGAAATAGCAGCCCCTTAAATAGGCAAATAAATTCCCTTTTTGGGACAGATTTTGGTTTACTAAAAAATCTGTCCAAAAGACTGAGTTTGTGTGCTAAACACTGTTCAAGATCTGTCCCAAAAATGAAAGGACAACCTGAAAATCTGCTGTGTCAGAAGCAAGGAGAAAAAATATCATTTCAGCCACCCTACTAGTAAAAGTAGGCTACTATTATCCTATTTTGTGATAAAATAAACTAAACTTCAGATTTTAACCATCAACAACAAACTACTTGTTCAACACAAATCAAACTTCAACAACTATGAACTGACAAAGCATAAACGAGACTAAAAACATAATTGAACTAAGTATTCAAACCAACTTGATTGGAATGAATTCGATTTGTGCAAACTAATTACTAAACAAACAACTAAATTCACAAACTAATGCTCAAAACAGAACGAGCATCGTTAACAATCGGACAACGACTAACAACAACAAAATAATCAACTAACTATGTGAACGATTTAACTAATACACTAAAGATCATGTTTAAATCAATAACAAATCTAACAAACCACTAAACTAAATAGAGATAACTAATTAAATAAACCTAACTTGAAACTCTAATTAACAAGAAACAACCAAAATAGAAAAATCAAAAATCAGAAACTGATCTACTAATATAAAAAATCAGAAATTAATTAAAGAGATGACGATTATACCTAACAAGTATGCTTGAAACTGTTCAAGCCACGAGAAGATGCCGGAGATGCTAAAAGGCGACTGCCCGACTCCGAAACGCACGTTTCTTTCGGGTAGATGCTAGAACGAAATGAGTTTCACCATCTCGCCAAAAGAAACGAGTATCTTTGAGTCGAAAAATAGCTAAGATGGGGGTTCGGGGCATTTTGGCGGTGGTGAGGCAGTAGAGCCGCGGCGGCAGTGAGGAGCGGGCCGGCGGCGACGGGTATTTTGGGGGTGAAATGGGTAGGAAAAGATAGGTCTCGTGGAGTTCTATTCATTCATGTATGTGTTGTAGGGTGGTGTTGGCCGGAGCTTCAAGAATTTGGACCAAAAAGTGGCGGCTAAAGTTTAGATCTAAAATTCAAGGAGTTTGAGGGTTTTTTGAAGGAATTGGTTTGGAGATATGGGAAGAGGAGGTTGTGGAGATTA